TGGAGACGTGCAGGTCTGGAGCCTGGGGTTGAACCTCTGATTTGAGCAGCCATTATATCCCAAGTGCATGTGTGGCATTAACAACACAGGCTTATTTTCCACAGCAGGAGCTCTGCTTCTCCGAGAGTGGCCCTGATGGGTCACACGTCCTGTCCTTTAGACAGCAGTGGCATTGATGTTCATTATGTGATAAAATTCACTCGACATACACGTACTGCGCATGTACCCTGTGCAAAGCATTGTCTTGGAAATCTAAATTGCTCTTTAGTATTTTGATTCTGGATAACATTAATTTACCTACAGAGTTCCTAGTATCTTTTTTTCCCCCAAACATCATCATTATTCCTTTACTGTAGTTTAGTAGAACTGGAAGGGGAGCCTTCTCTTTGCCTGGATAGGCCTAAAGACACTCCAACTCTGTGGTTCCACCACAGGACCAAGACCATTAGAACAGAATGATTAGGAGCTGATGAGCACAAAAGCGACTGACTGTTGGGGAAAAGCAGGGCAGGGAGGTGGGCTGACCGCTCACTACAGCACACAACACAGCAACCCTGTAATGAGGCCCAAAGGGGTTCTTTCCAGTCCTAGAGAGTACGTGGGCTGAATGTTCAGTCATGATGAGGGGGGTCACACCAACCCAGTCTGACTGGCACTGGCACCACAGGGGCTAGTGACACATGCGCTGTTAGAACCAGTCAGTCTATCACCGTGAAATAATGATGATTAGGATGAAAATAACAGCAGCAACTTATGTGTTACTGAGCATTTATCAGACTTGGATTCCATCAAAAGTTAACCTCTTATGTCTGGAAGGTATTATTACATCACTGTGAGCTCTTAGAGGAGATTTAAGCTTGTTTTTTTAACATTCCATCCATTCTGTTTAAAAAGTGGGTGGTAGACTTGCTTTATTTTAGAGAAGGACTCCTAAGACCTGCATGCTCATCTTCTTGTAACATGACCAAGGTTTTATTTGTATGGTTAGGTACCTCATTGAAGTGTTGGCTGGTTTTCATAATGTAAGGTGTTCTTTCATTTTTATCCAGCTTCATCCACCCCTGTCCAAGAAATTCTCTGAAATTTCAAACAACAAAGCACAAAATCAATTAAGTTTTAATGGTGACTAGGATCCTAAATAATTATTATGAATATTATATACATTAAACTTGATACTGCCCAACACCTGCTGCTCATGACCATATCAAAGGAATTTTAGTTCAACTCTAGCATTTCTCCCACTTGACGACAAAAAGAAAAAGATCTTCCAATTTCCAGATTTCTCTTATAAATGTTTGGAACTCTGTCCCCATTCAGACCATTACAAAGCCTTCACTGAAATTGGAAAACAATGACCAACACAATAGGAATAAAGAGGTGAAGTACTAACTCAGAAACCAAGACTGTTTGCTCTGGATCAGCTTTAAAAAATGTTTGAGCTTTAGCAGAAAGTCCAAGAAATACATTGCTTCCAAAAATGTTACTCAAGAACAGCATTTCCTCCTACACTGCTCTGACACCCCTAGGAGATGGTCAGTTCCATGGGCAGCGATTTTGCTTTACTCTCCCCAGAGCCCAGAAGGGTACTAGCGGGGAGGGCTGCATGACAAATGCCACTGTTACCACCTCCCAGCCCGTTCCCATGACGATGGCAGTTACAGCCGGGGGCAGGTGGGGGGGAGTTCCGCCTGGTGCAAGTTCTCCTGAACAATGTCCCTGATCCTTCATTTCACTCACGAGCAGGTCACCAGGCTGCAGCAAGCAACGGACAATCACACTGATGCAGACAGGGACCACTTAGAGGGATTATTGCCACAATAACAATAACAATTGTGACACATTCTTAATCCAGAAATGTTGCTGAGTCCCTATAAAAGGTCCCATGTCCCTTGACGTTGATAGTACTGCTTCCATCCTGCAAAGTTGTGGGACATAAAGGGATGCCAGTCCCACAGGTGAAAATAACCAGTAGATGTTCACACCAGCTTGGGGGACAGGGTGGAGTGGTGGGGAGGGTCCTGGGAAGAGGCCACACGAAGGGCAGGCACAGAGGTTCAGGCTTTGCTCTTTCTCCTCCTCCACAGAGGTCGTGATCTTCTCCCTCCTGAATCCCCAGGAGCTTGGGGGGACGACGCACTGAGGCTCTAACCCAAGTCTTCAAAGAGTCACGTGTATGGCCAATGGGTCATTTTTTTTTTCATGTTCATGGATAGATCTATGAGTGCTGAGAGAGGGGAAGGGAAAGAAGATGAAATATATAAAAGAAAAGTCTTCAGGGGCACCTTCTGGGCCTGCCTCTTCGGCCTCTCCAGCCCACCTGTAGCTCTGACCACCCACGCTGCCCCCTCAGGCCCTCCATCATTACAATGTCCTCTTCTTTTCATATGGCAGGGATCACATCCCTATCTCCTGTCCAGCCCTCCCTTACCTTCATTTTAGTTATTTTACAGAGGACGTGAGCCAACAGTTGTCAAGTGTCTAAACAAAGGCTTTGTCTGTGGAGCTACTGACCATGACAGAAGGGATGGGGCTTCAGGAGCCTCCCCTCACTCTGCACATGAGCAAAGGAAAAGGAAGGGGAGCCGTGGCTCTGGCCGTGTGACACCACTCCCCGGGACATGCGCTCAGCCTGTGCTGGGCAAAGCACTGTGTTGGGAGTCCACACCGGTGAGAGTTCCAAAGCACAGTGGTACTTGATTTATGGAAGTGGGGAATGAACTGGAGCAGGATTTATAGCATTTACCCAACATTATTGTTTCCCAAAGTACCTGGACCACACAGAATGATCTGGGATTCTCACTGAAAATGCAGTTCCCTGGGCCTTGAACCTGCTAGTATCAGCATTTCTGAGGGAGTGTCTAGGAGTAAATGTTCTTAACAAGTTTCACAAATGATGTTAGGCACCACGAAGTTTGAGAACTCTGGTTTTAGCTGTTGTGAGGTTTCTGTAATTCCAGGATGTGAGAGTACAGAGAAATTCATTCTTTGGTAACCAGAGCACAAACAGAAACACAAGAGTGACCATCTTGAGTCTCCAATATTCCCAGTCAATACTTCCAACACAAACTAGAACGAAAAGACATTCAAGTGGGACCAGGCCACCGCAAGAGGAAGACTCACACCTCTGTGCACACATCTGCCTTAGCAACGTCAGCTCTACACCGGCAGGTCCTGCCTGAGGGGGCCTGCAAAGTGAGTGCAGCACTCACTCGTAGGGAATGCTTCTAAAGACAATGTGGTCCAGGAGGGTGATCTGCTCAGCCAGCTCCATGGCAGACAAGGTCTCAAAGCACTCGGCCTTTGGACAATTCATCTGCAAGAGAGGAGGACAGGGAATGAAATACACGCAGGAGCAAGGTGCCTGTCAGTTCACTGCAGCTGCTGAGCTACAAAGTCCCTCAGAGATTCTAGCCACGAAGAAGATGGCAGAAAGCTCAGGAACATCAGCCGAAATCAGTATCAGCTCGATTACTAAACTCCAAAGCAAATTTGGTTCATTTCAGAGCTCCAGCGGCAGAACATACGGTCAAGCACTCAGTTATCAGTTACAGGCATATTGCTTGCCTTTGAGAGGCAGTTCACATGTAGTCATGCTGGGTAAAACCATGGCTGAACTTACCAGTTGAATAATATCCTCTAATTTTAGGTGGATGTCATCTTGATCGTCTTGTGAAAGGGCCCTAAAAAAAATCAAAGTATCCTTCTTGAAAAGAAAATAGACACTCCAGGAATAAAAAAAACAAAGTGCAGTTTATTTTTCTCTGGGTAGAAACTCGGAGAAGGTTCAGTCCGCAAGGCTGTGCTGCCAGATGGAGGCTGTGGTGGCCAAGGAAACAGCAAAATACATATTAAAGGCTCAGGAGGATCATCAAGAGAGCTGACTTATTAAAAAGGGCCAACTTATTATATACACGGCTATCAACAAAACACCCACCCTCAAAGTGTACCTGAGAGCAGGCCGGTGTACTCTGCATTACCGAGAGGTCTACGTTGTGCATTTGGCCACCCTGCAACGCTATCAGGGATCTAAGAGGCCTGAGCGCCCCATCTATGCCAATCTAGCCCCTACCCTCGCCCTTCTCTGCTAATGCGGAGGCAAACCTAAAGCAGAAGCTCAGGGGAGTTCCTAGGTAGCAAAAATGTGAACAATTCAAAGCAGAAGCCAGCAGGTAAACTCCCCCCCCTTGTTTCCCAGATGGACTTTCCAAGATATATTTGGTGCTGTATCCCCACACACGGTGTAATTATTCAGCTCCCAATAAATACGTAAGTTAATGAATACTGAAGTAGGTGCTGGTTTCAGAGTGGGTGTGACACTTCATTTCCTGCAGAAGTTCAGAGTCCAGGAGAATTGTACTGATTATATAACTTGCCATCTGGGCTAAGCATTTTAAGTTCTCCAAAAGGAAGACACAACCACATATTAAAAGTATTAAAATATTTAAACAGCCCCAAACCATGTGCCCTGTCTCCTAGGGGAAGCTAAGATGTGATGTTTTGTGGTACTCTGAATTGATTAAAACAAAACTACCACCCTTAAAAAATATAAAATCAACAGAGATAGGTTACTGTATGCTCACCACATGCTAGGTAGCTCTAAGCATTTGACATTAACTACCTCCTGTATCATTAAAAATTCCTTCAAAGTAAGCATTATTATCTCCTTTTTATAGATGAGAAAACAAAAGCTCAATGAAATTGACTAACTGGCTCAGGGGGTGACCCGGTTGTATTTGCTTTCCTGTTACTCATGATTGTCTTAAGCAGGCATAAGGAAGGCACCTTTGCAAGGGTCCGGCATAGAACACACATCAAAAAACGTCAGTTTCCTTTCCTCTATCTTCTTCCTCTCTTTCAAGAGCTCTTGGCAGTTTACCAGGGAGCAGAAACTTTCTAGGTTATAGGAGTGGCAATCCTCTTGTCAGCAATCAGCCATATCATTTGCAAGCAGAAAGCAATAGCCTTCATATGGTGAAGGGCAGATTAAAGTGAGGAAAAAAATAGGTAAACACAATTCTTCCTCCCAAGACTGTGAAATAACTTTTAAGGGTTACATGCAGGGGATAAAAGTGACTCTTTCCCAAACTACAGGCAGCTCTTTCCACGAGTCCAGGTTTCTAGAGAGAGATTGGTGGCCACAGAACTATGTGTACCAATGGAAAAGACCTTTTTTATGAGGCTGGGCAATATTCCTCCCTTGGAAAGAAATTGTCAAGGACTCAGTTCCTATCAAACATTCCTCTCCCCAGTGATCTTACCATTGTGTTCCAAGATACATTCTGGTTCCATTAAATTATCTAATATTTTTTCTCTTCCCAAGAGCCTGTCAGTGCTGCTTGGGACTTTGTGAGGTTTCACCTTTTCAAGACCTGAACCCATTCCAGCTGACCATCCAAGGAGTTTGTCATTGTTTCTACTCGTCTTCTGGCCAGTGAGTTGCCTACAAAAAGCTCTACACTGTGTAGGTTCAGAAGCCAGCGAGTCAGACAATGTTGGAGTGGGGTGGTATTTTACAAATATAAAAGTCTTAAGCAGAGGTTCTTATTCCTAAACAGGGCAACAAACTCCTATGCCAACTGAGATCCTTCATCATAAAAGAGCCCCTAGGACTGTGTGAGGCACGGACGGTTCATCACAGAAAGCTTTCACTCTACGGCATTAATGTCATATATGTTTAAATACATGTTTCATGTTTACATCTTGCTGTTATATGACTTGAATGCACATAAATCTCAATGTCAGGGTCACTTTTAATTATAATGTGGTATGTTTTTCTCTCTCACAATCCTAACTTGCATTCACTGGAAGAAATTTTCAGAAATGTTCACTTCTCTAAAGGCCCCTCTACCTCTGGTCCAGTACAGAGGATGAATTTGCTTCTAGTCTCCTGATACCTTAGAGCTTTGATGACACTCCAGGATCCTGGGTTTCCCCCACATCTATTCATCAGCATGAGTAGTTTAATACCTGTGCATTTATAATGAAACACCAGATGAGAAACTTAGAAGTAAATGGGAGTATCCAGGTTCTATGATTGGAATATTCCTCCTTCGATCATAGAAACCAGGTAGTCTTAAAAACAGAGCCAAGAGCAACTGGCCTCTGTCCTCAGATCAGTTCCCACTCACCAGCTGCTCACTTGCTGTGTGACTGCGCAGTGTGTGCCCATGGCAGGCCTGCCCCATGCTCTGCTCCTCAGCACCGTCTGGGGGCTTCACCTTCTGGGGCCTGCTGGACCACCTCCCCCTTCCCATGCTTTTCCTTCAAGCATGGCTTTCTTTCCCTCTAGGCTTATTTGAGTCCATTGCTACCTATGTCATGACACATTTTTTAAAAGGCAGATGTCCATAACTACATGGCAATCTTTAACATTAAAATCTCCCGATTTTAGCTGGAAATGATTCTCTCTTTGTTTCCCAATTAGGAAATGAACTAACAGGAAAATCTTTACAATTTTCAGGGTTGTGAAGTAATCCTTTTTATTTCTGTTTCTTTCTCATATATGCCATGATGTTTTTTTTCCACAAAGAGAATGATAGCCTTTCTGCAGCGATGGCTTGATTTAGGTCTTACTATCCACTTTATTTATTTAAATAAAAATATGGAACACTTCACGAATTTGCATGTCATCCTTGCGCAAGGGCCATTCTAATCTTCTCTGTATTGTTCCAATTTTAGTATATGTGCTGCCAAAGCGAGTACCCTACTTTATTTTCTAATCATTCAGACATGATTTTTTTTAAATATAAACATATGGAGTTCATACATATAAACATAAGTATCTGATATGGTAGGTTATTGAAAACCCTAAGAAATTAATTACCAATCATTTCTCCTATAATAACGATCTTCCATGCTGGGGCAGGGACCCTTAAGCATAGTGCAGGTGGAGTGAATTACTTGGCAGGGGAAATTTGATCATGGATCAGTAGTTTTCTTGCACTAGGTTTGTTTTCCACAAATCTATGTACTAGCTTGCAGGAAAGATAAATTAGTGCCCTAGAGATCCAGGTGACCCAAACTAGGACTCAAGGTCTGGCTGTCTGCTCAGCTACTGGGGCTAGTGACCCCACTGGTATCAGTCTGCTTTAGTTGATATGCTCAGGGCTAAACAAAGACTTGTTTTGTATTGGCTTCATGAGGAGAAAGATGTCAGAGGTAGGAGAATTTATGGGGTGATGGTGTAACAGCTATTCCCTATCTGGCTTCATGGGTGGTCATTTAATTCTTTTGATGAAAGATGTGGAACCAGAAGCCAAAGGAGCTTTTTTACAATAGATGGGGATTCTGGGTTGAATGAGGCTGCCCTGGGGCCCAGGTGGCACAGGGATGGGACAGGTGGCATCTTTTTCAGCTCTTTGATAGGGAAGTGGTGGCTTCAGAAGGCTGTCAGGCAACATTCTTGACAGAAACAGTGGTGACCCTGGTAAGGTCTCTCCCTCAAGTGGCCTGGAGATGGCGAGCTTGAATAAAGATGTTGAGGCAGAAAATGCCTGGGTTTGTTCCTGAGCACATATTTCTTGGGACTTTTAAAATACATTGTGAAGACCTTGCAAGGGACAAGAATTTTGGGTGGGTAGCTGGGACACCCCCTCAGTAGAACTGTTGCGTGTTTTGTTTTTAACTTGTTTTTTCTTTTACAAAATAGCAAGGAGGTAATGTGTGTGTGTGTGTGTGTGTGTGTGTGTGTGTGTGTGTGTGACAGCTTTATTGAGATATAATTCACACACCAAGTAATTCACCATCCAAAGTGTACTTCTGAATATTCTTTTAAAACATTCACATTATTGTGCTATAGTAAATTGGGTTTTAATGTTATTATAATCTCTTTTGTATACACAAGGTGATGAAGCCTAAGGAAAGTTGAGTTTGATTAAACTAGTTGAGTTTTACTTGGACACATTGCCTTGATGTCAGAAGCTGTTTTTCCCAAGAGATGCTGTCAGTGCTTTATAATAATAATAATAACAACAACAACAACAAGTATGTAGCAATGAGTGCTAATTACATCTCAGGCATTATGTTAAACTCTTTATACATATTATATTGTGTTAATCTTCACAACCCAACAAGGTAGGTATTATTAACCACCTTTTAAAAGCAGAGACACTGAAGTTTAGATTGGTTAAGAAACTTGACCAGGTCTAAGTGACTGAGCCAAGATTTGAACCCATGACATCCTGCAAAAGTTAGAATCAGATTCTACTCAGTGCTATACTTCCAGTATCCCTACCATCTACTAAAATTTCTATTGCTTATTGATGCCACACTTCTAATTCTCAAATAGAATTTGCACATCTTAAGCCTGATGAACAATAAAGCCCTGGGTTGCCTTAGGTGGCAGCTCCAATTAAGTGGTAGTGGCCAGTCAACTGAGGTCTGCACTCACCTACCAGCACTGGCAGAAAGCTCTCAAGATTGATTGGGAATGTCTGGCACAGGTGTTCTGAGGGGATGGGTAATGTGAAGGCTTCTCAGAGCCAATCTCAAGGGTCTTTCCTGGTCAGAACACCCTCACTTCCCTGACAAGTATCCAGTCAAATGTCCCTGGAGGCACAAACTTTCAGAATGTAGTTTTTAAATATTGATGTTTGAAAAACAAAGAGCATAATAAACTGCTTACATACAGAGAAAAGGAATAGCAGTCACTCACAGTCATAACCATTCAACCACTGAAACCAGGCTTTATCTGAAAATGTATTAATAATTTTAAAATCTGAAAATAAACATAATGGAATACCTAAGTTTACTTAGATGTTTTTATAGAGTGGAAAAAGTGAAGATGGCCTTTAATAGTTACTCTAATAAAGTACCACAAACTAGGGAGCTGAGAACGATAGAAATCTATCGTTTCAGAGGTCTGAAATCTGTAGAGGGATCCTTCCTTGCCTTTTTCTAGCTTTTGGTGATTTGCCAGCAATGGCTGGCATTCCTTGGCTTGCAGCCACACAACTTCAATCTGCTCGTTCTTCACATGGAATCCTACTCTGTGGAGTCACATGGAGGAGGGCCACCCTACTCCAACATGACCTCGTCTGAACTAGTTACATCGGCAATGACCCTATTTTCACATGAAGTCACATTTTGAGGTACTCAAGTTTAGGAGTACAACATGTTTTTTGGAGGTGATACAACTGAACTCACAACAGCCTTTAGACCAAAGAAAGGTCTGGCTGTGGGATCGGGAGCTAAGGGGACCAAGAATGACTTATGGGCCAGCTGCTAAAATGTTACAGACCAAAATGTGGCATTGCTGCATCAGGGAAGGACTTCCAAAGACATGATGGACTGAGCTATTGGACTCTACTCCACACACGAACATTCTGGACAACAAAGAAGCAATATGGTCAAGTTTAGAAGAAAGACAGGATTCTTTCCAGAAGTTGCAAATGAAGAAGTCAGAATGGTAAAGGAGTACAAGGCTGTAGCAGACAGATAGATGTCCCACCCCAAGGGAGGGACAGGCCATAGAGCTGCAAGTGACATAGAAAGCCAAACTGAAATGTCTGCAGGCAGACCCTCAAGGCTGCCCCCCTCACACAGAGTGGACTAGAAAAAATACACGTGTCAGTTTAAGAAGTTATAAGAAAGTCTGTTATCTGCTTGGATGCTAGGTGTAACAACAGACACAAACAGTCTTTAGTGGGAAACCCAAAGTTCAAGCTTTATCACATAGAAGTGTGAGGTCCAAATGTATACAACCTACATGACACAGAAATCCTAACCTGAGAAGCTGACAGAAAAATTGGTCTAAGACCAGTGAAAAAAGCTGGAAAAAATGCATAACTATCCTATGGTGGTTCATCCAGAAGCCAGGTGCACAAGATTCCCAGAGATGCTACCCACCTGGTCATGAACACGAGCCTACAATGAACGATTAGAACCCACCTGAGTTAAAAGACATCTCTCTGCAATGCCTGCTGGACTCACAGGAAAGGACCCTCAAGGCTTCCTCCCTCTCGCTTCTGGTTCTGCAGTAAACCATCTGCTCACATGAACAGGAGCAACTGTACTCCACACAAGCTGCCACCCAGGCTTCCTGAGGCAGCACCCCAATAGGCCCTCAGGAAAGAGATGGTAAGTACCACTACCAGTGAGAACAGAATCCGTGCCACCCCCAGGAGACTGTGATATATCCTTCTGGTTTCCTAAGATCTTATTTTCTATGAACATCAAAGTTACAAATCAACCAATGTAATTAAAAGGCACCGCAATTGCCTTTACCTTAGGATATTCGCTGTGGCTTTCCTTTCCTGAGGAAGAAGGTCTGGGTCTCGCAAAACTTCTTCTAGCAAATTTAGGACGTTCATCTTTAGTTCGTTATTGAGTTCAAAATCCTATAAAATAAAATATGTCTTTTTAAAAAGTTTTAGTTTTGAAGGATTTTGCTCCATGACATGTGACACCATTCCCCATGACACATTCTCTAAAACCTATATGTGGAAATTAAAATGTATGGACCCCAGACCTGCCCCAAGAGATCATGATTTCATTGGTTTGGGATGAGGCCCTTTTGTTGGTATCTCTGACAGACTGTGCAGGGAATGAGAATTCCTCAGAGACAGGTGCTTCCCTTTTCCTGGAACACTGTGCCTCCTTCCCACATTTATTCCTATTTGTCTTTCAGGTCTAGAAGGTGAGCCTTATCCCAGGAGCCTTCTTCAGGTGACCTGGTGGGGTAAAGAGCTTTGCCTTAGCACCCCCATGGTGCTCCATATCATAACTTACTGTTGTGAGGGTCAGTTTAATTGTCTGGTTTCCCACTGGACCATGAGTAACATCAGTAACTGGGGCACAACAAGAGCTCAAAATAATGTTTATTGCAAGAATAAAATCTGTCATTTGGGCAGTGACTTGAGTGAAGAACTTCCATACAAATATGCTAAGGGCTAAAGAATAATGATACTCAGACTGATGGGCCCATGTCAAACAATCACAGAAGAGAGACTGAAGAGGTACCCACTGGGCAAAGCTGGGACAGTATGAGCATCAGAATGAATAATGAGAGCAATAAATAATAGCCAACTGAATCAGAAGTCCCTACTGATGCTCACAAACAAATAAAGAGATAAATACATAAAGAGGGTGGAAGAAAAACTATTCTTCATAGTGGAATTCTAGCTGATCAATGCAAAGGAATGAAAGAGTTAGAAAATCACCCTTTTTGACTACGTCAGTTATAACGATGAGGCAAGGGTCATGAGTGGATGCTGAAATTTATTGGGAAACAGAATTAATAGCATCAGAGTATCCACCCCCACACCCCTCAATTAGAAATTATTTATTAATTACGAAGGGAGAATCTGGCAGACACCACCTTATCCAAGTGATCAGAGTGACCACCACCAATAACAGAGCAACCAACATCATGTATCTACTAACATAATGCTCTGTGAAGAATCATTGCTTTGCATTTCCCCCCAAAATGCAATAATCTCACATTTGCATCATGAGGAAGCATTGGCCTGCATTCTTCAAAATGCTAATGCCATGAGAAACAAAGAAGAACTGAGGAATGGCTCCAGCGTAAAGGGCACCAAAGGGACCAGAGTGAAATGCAACATGTGAACCTGAGTTAGATCTTGGGTAAAGAGGGAGATGCTCTAAAGTGCGCTGCTGGGACAACTGGCAAAAGCTGAGTCAGGACCATGGACTAGTTGAGAGCATTCTATCAATGCTCAGTTGTCCTGAATTTGATCACTGTACTGAGGCTATTAAGAGCAAGTCCTTGTTTTGTCAGGGCAGGGGTAGAAGGGGGTGTAGAGAGAGGGAGAGGGAGGGAGAACACAAATGTGGCAAACACATTAACTATTAGTGACTCTAGATGTATATTACTATACTTTGTTTTATTCGGGCATTTTTTATGATTTGAACATTTTCAAGGTACAAAGTTGAAGAAAAAGAATAGAAAGGTAAAGATGTAGGTCTTGCACTTCTTTACTAAGTGCATTCTTATAAAACACCAGCAGGTAGACAATAATGAGCTTGGCAGGTGTTCAGAAATGAACTGAGCAGGCAAGTCCCACGTTTAGAGATCTTACTCTATAGACTGTCTTGTATGTGCAGGTCTGAGTATGTATTTCCCTCCTATATAAAGTTACTCATTGTAACTACATTTTAACTTTAAGGAAAGTAATTTTGGAGCACTGATACTCTGAGTTTTTTTACCTGATTGGAGAGAACATTGCTAAGTGCAGTGAATCCAATAGAAGGAAAACAGTATACTTTTACTACATTTAGTAAATTAGGGACAAAAAGGTCCATGATTCCACAAATTATAGACAATGCAAAAGTCTAACCTAACTTGAATCGGGTATTTTTGTGCCTCCATTTGGTGGAGAGCTAAATAATAGATTTTTCTCAATATTTCACTTTCACTGTTTGACAATAAGCATCATTTCTTTGGGAACAGGAACCATTGGGGGCCAGAGCAACACAGATATTAATGCCTTTTATCAATCTGAGGCCTTCAGATGATATGTTTTCCTAAAATGTCATTTACTGTCCAACAGCTCCTTGGCTATTGATTTTTGTTTTAAAATATATGCCAGGAGAAGAGAGTAATAATCTTGTGGCTTTTTTTTTCTTTGTCCCATGTCCTCCCCCACTTCAAGGTAAAGAGAATGTTTGTAAACGTTGATGATCTCACCTACAACAATCTCTGGGCACTACCAAAGGATTTCTCAGCCTGTTATTAAGAATCTGTTTCCTTAATGAACATTTGATATTTTTGAGTGAGATGACCGAACCCTCCTCTAGCTATCTTGAGTCTCTAATGACGCAAATAATCTGATTATCATAAATGGATTAGTGTGAAGGACATCAGGACAGTGTTTAGACCTTGCTCAGGGCTAATTAGTGGTTTAATCAACAAGCAAGCATCATTGAACACCTACTGTGCCCCATCCTGGGCTCAACAGGAGGAACGCTTCTGAGACATAAGGAAAGCAAGTTGTGTGAAAGGTCTTGTTAAGGAAAACAGAATGTAATTATTTTGAACTCTGGGAAGACTAGCTTGAGAGACACCTCTGAAAACTTGATGAAATCTGCCCCGACCTTATAGGAGCATGATGAATGGTTACAGGAAATTTGCCCTACTGCTGACATAGCTAATATAAAGCAGATTATCTAATGATGGCTCAGTATGAAGTGTAAGAATTCTCACCCATAATTTCCCCCTTCATTTGCACAGGATTTTTTTTTTTTCATATTTGAAGTGACCTTCTGTGCATGATTTTAGTTTTTCCCAGCTGTTTGGGGCAGGGGGAGGCGGGCAGGCAACGCAGGAACCACCACACGGGCCGCTGAGGCTGAAAGGACGTGATCACGGGCCGAGAGGAGACAACGCAGGTCTTCCGTCTGACTCCAGGAGGAGTCCTTCGCACCTGAGCCTCTCAGTCACGCGTCCACGAATCAGCACAGACTCTGATGTAGCAAGTCTGGAATGGGGTTTGAGGCTGTACTTTTCTAATGAGCTCCTGGGTGATGCTAATAACGCTTTGAGTGGCAAGACCTCGCCACTGTTTATTTTTTCAAATTCATGCAAAAAAACAACTCCTCTAAGCCTGACTGAAAAAATCTGAATCCTCTGACATTCTACATGGAATGTAAAAAAAACAAAAAAATCTTAATCGATGCATGTGAAAATGCAGAATTGGACATTTCAAAGTCCCTGCTAAATACATAGTAGCTACTCTTCAATAGAAATTTGAAGCAGCTAAAAGGCACCAGCCCTATTTAAATCCAGAGAAAGATTATTCATAATAAATCTGACAGCCATTTTGTAATTATTTGGAATCTAATGTAGTTTTAGCTACATTTTTGGCCCTGAAATGGGAATGAGACGAGGAGGAAACACTGGCTCCTTGGCAGAGGCAGAAGTTGGGGAGCCACACGATGGCGCTCGCAGGTCGCCCGGCTGCTCGGGCCTGTGACTTGGACCTGGCCGGCGGGTGTAGAGAGAGCAGGGCCCTGAGCAGGGAAGTTGCCTGCGAAGGTGAACGAGCTTCACGGTCCAGATGAGCAAACCCTGTGACATCCAAGAGGAACCGAGGCATTCATTCACTGAGGTCATCACAGCACAGTGGGCTTAGTTTTTGTTTTCCAATTTATGAGGCAGGAATGAGGAGGCAGAAGGGTAGAAAAAGGAACACTCCCTGCTTTCAAAGGTGGGAGCCCAGAAAATGTGAGACTTTTACATTTCAGTCTCTAAAAAGGAGACTATAGCTCTTACTCTTTCAGCAATTACTGGGCACTTCAGTATATGAAGGCTCTGGCGGAGAGGCAGAGCAGCGAACAAGCCGGGCGGATGGGCGGAAGAAACATCGACCAATGAAACCCAGGGAGAGAGGCTTGAGGGGGACGCACCTGCGTGCAGGTGAGAGCAGGGCAGCGCCTGCCTGAGCCGCAGGACAGGGGCTGGACCTGCAAACCTAGGCCTGGGAACCCCTTGCAAAGATGTGACAGCTCAAGCGGAGTGCCAAGAAAAGGAGTGTGGCACACAGCAAATGCTTAGGAACCAACTGTTACCAGCCTTTTGATGATGTTAGGATCCTCCTCAAGAGAGAAGCTAGTGAGAGATGAGGCTATTTTACTAAGATTTTATTCACTCCACTCAAACACATGCACAAATAATTAGAAACTCAGTATTTTCCCTAGGGTAGTTATCAACTCCTGAGGTAATTATCGTAACTAAGACTTAGTGAGAGTTTGCCACATGCTAGGTGATATTTTAATCACATTGTTTAATTTAAGCCTCAACAGCAACATAGTTGCAATCATTCCCATTTTATAAGGAAGCCAAAGTACAGTTAATCTGAGTGTCTTGTCTAAAGTCACACAGGTAGCAAGTGACAGACCCAGGACTCAAACCTAGGCAGTATTGGCAGAAGCCTGAGTTTTTAGCTGCTATACACAGACTCTCCCAAATAATTGGCTATCAGTGAATTAGTGCTGGTGGCTGGGGATGAAAGACACATCAAATACAAGCTGGTAACCATGCTGAGTCTGGAATTATTTCTCACCCATACTAACAACCATTTGAGACAGAGATCTTGAGACTCAGGTGTGTATTAAAAAGACTAGATCACACAATGGAAAAATAATCTATGAGGCAACAGATCATATTCTCCAGCATTTTAAAACTGATCCCTGTTGATAGCTTAAGCATCTTGGATATTATAGTCCTTCTTTTAGGGTAGCAGGGTAATAATTAGTAATATATCACATATGGCCAAGGGAACTCTAGGATACTGGGAAAATCTGATGCAATAAACAGTTTGAGGGTAAAGAGAACTATGAGTGCAATTTTCTCGCTATAATCAGTACAGTGTATTCC